ATGGTAAACAATAGTTTTGAAAATATGTTGAATACAGTAGTCATGAAATTAAGAAAAATTGGTTGAATGTTTCGATTAAACTTCATTTTAATACTAAAAAAATAATTTTTTCTATACATACAGCATTAAAGTATGACGTCTTAAGTTTAATTTGCAGGCTTTTATGTGAAAAATTGTTTGAGTAATTACAAATTTACAAAAAAATTGGATTTCGGGTATCACCGCCCAATCTTATTTCGTCGATAAATGTACGGTTGCATAGATTATTATTTTATTGCTTCAAATTTGAATATTATATGCATTTTTAACAACAAATATTGTTCTAACTAAATGATTGTTAATAAATGATAGAATTCACTAAAAGTATATAAATATGTAATAAATAAAATAATTTTGTGATAAAAATGATAAATGAGGTTTATCTATTGTTAATACATTGGTCACTTTCATTTACACCTGAAAATACAGTCAAAAAACAAAATTTTTGGAACTGGGCGGGGCTACCCGACACAATTTGAAAAGAGCTGTAAAACATTTTTTTTTTTAATTTCTATTTTTTTAAGTTAAACTATTCTTTTTTTGGTTTATTCTATTTGCATTATTTAATTAGATAATAAAACAATAGAAACATACAAAAATATTGATTATTACTCAATATTATACGGAAATACACTGGTTATCATAAATTAAGGAAAAATCACAAAAATAGCGATAACTCTTTCAAAAGTAAGCCAAAACGTGCAAAATTTGCATATGTTGTCCACTAAGAGTAGCTGAGTAAAATTGCAATATGCAAATTAGTGGCGCTGCACTCGGCTTACGTCATCTGCCTGGAGCATAAAAGTCCAAGTTTGAGAGAAAGCACACAAATTTTACTGTGATTGCGACATTGAAAATCTGAGATAGCCAATTCGTAATAATGACCTCTAGGCATCATTTGCCTGAAGAACTACGATGGAGAGCCATCGGGAGACTAGAGGCAGGGCAGAGTCAATCAGAAGTGGCCAGATGGCTAAATGTGAGTCCATCTGTGGTTCATAGACTTTGGAGGCAATTTCAAACCACAGATTCGGCATCTAGGAGGTTCAGTCAAGGACGGCCAACTGTTACGACCAGTGCCGATGACCGATATTTGACATTAAGTGCACGCAGGAATAGAACCGCTACTCCGACACATCTTAGATCCTCTCTTGCTGCAGCCACCGGAAGGTTGGTGTCAACGTCAACTGTGCGCAGAAGGCTCCACGAAGGTGGTCTGTATGCGAGACGACCAGCCATTTGCGTGCCGCTCACATCACGCCATAGGAGAGACCGTTTGCAGTGGGCCCGACAACATGTCCACTGGACGTCAGATCAATGGAGGCCTGTTCTCTTTACGGATGAGTCCAGGTTTAGTCTAGAAAGTGACAGTAGACGTTATTTGATATGGAGAGAACCTGGGACCCGTTATCATCCATCAAACATCCGTGAAAGAGATGCATACGGAAGAGGCAGTGTCTGTGTTTGGGGAGGCATATCCTTAGGAGGGCGCACATACCTCCATGTCTTTCCAAGGGGAACCGTGAATGCTCAGGTTTATCGAGACAACATCCTTGATGCTTATGTGCGCCCATATGCCGGGGCAATTGGTGATTGCTTCCTGTTACAGGACGATAATGCAAGACCACACAGAGCTCGCATTGTTGATGATTATCTTCAACAGGAAACAATTACTCGCATGGAGTGGCCAGCTCGATCCCCGGACTTGAATCCTATCGAGCACGTTTGGGATGCTCTAGGGAGGCGTGTATCTGCCATCAATCCGCCCCCTCAGACCCTTGCCACGCTTGCAACTGCTTTACAAGAGCAATGGCTCTCACTTCCTATTGAACTGATAGACCGCATAATTGAAAGCATCACACATCGCTGTTTGTGCTGTATTGCTTCTAGAGGCAATCATATTCCATATTAAAGGTACTTTTTCTATTGCAAACCGATACTTCCAATTTGTTTATTTTATACATGTGCTAATTTCTATACTACTATTAATGTCTGATAATTTCTTTTTATGTTGTTTAATACCTTACTATGTGTTGTATATTGTGGGTAAGTTTCATAAAATTCCATGTGTAATTGAAAGAGTTATCGCGATTTTTGTGAATTTTCCTTAATTTATGATAACCAGTGTATAAGCAATACTCCTTAAGTGGGCGGGGCTACCCGGCTCTACCCTACATGTAGAAATGCACTACTCAATCAATTTGTTTTTAGATATCAATGATAAAAAAGAGAAACAAAACTTTCACATTCAATAATTCATTAAATTATTTGCCCCTTTGCCATAAAAGTACAGTCTCAACCTTTCAGAGAGTACTTTCAATAATTCTTAGCATGACACTGGTGGTATTTTTTTTTATCCCCTTAGAACAGGGTTTCTTAACCTGTGGTTCATGGACCCCTTAGGGGTCCATGGGTCATATTTTGGGGGTACGCCAACTACTTTTAAGACGATTGGATCAATAATATTTAAATAACATTGATCTTTTTTTCTAAAAGGTGAAAATACATACATATTTGAAACTAGGTGATTGAGATACCCCAAATTCAGTACGGACCCTCTAATATCCCTATCATATTTTTAACATTCTACACCAACCGGCTTTCAGTTTGCACTATCAGGGACAACCCCCTGATTACGTCCAATTTGCTATTTTTATAATCCTTTATCAACCCTTCATTTTTTGTGAGTCGATCTTTTGCCCTTTCTTCTTAGATATGCCAGCAATCCTCCACAATATGAGGAGCCACATTCGCAAACCATATAAAAATTTAACATTTTTAAAAACACAAAGCAGCCTTCGCATTTTATTTCAATTGGAAATAAAGTAAAGTAAAAATAATTGATGGTTTTTGCAATAATTTTTTTACAGGGGGGGTCTGTGAGTTCTCAAAAAAAATTTAAAAAGGGTCACATTATACCAAAAAGGTTAAGAAACACTGCCTTAGAATGAAAAGGACATGCAAATTTCTTTACTTATTTAAATAGCTTTTCTCATCCCTTAACACAGATGTCCAATTCTGGTGAGATTTCTGCCATTTTCGGTTAATCTGGTTGTAAATATACCAATTCACGGTGAACTTTACAACATGGCAGCTTATCTTATTGGATTCAACATGCAGGTAGTTCTACAAGTAAAACTACCACATAAAGGAAGACTGTTATCCAAGATAAGGGCAGTATATATATATATATATATCCTAAATAAGTATAAATTTGGACAAAGGTTTGCTCCTCACCATAATTATGCTTCAGCCTTTTTTTGCAACGGATGTCCAAATACTTATTAGTAGTCGATAATACAAGGTATATCATAACTTAACTACTATATTTAAGTTGAGAAAATTAACTATTATATTATGATAATGTGTACATTTTAACTATTACAGTGCCTGGGCAAATTATTAGGCACACTATAAGATTCTATGTGAAATCTTAATTATCAGGTGATACTATACAGCTTTATTGTTTCTATGCGGCTGAAACTGGTTCGCACTTGTTTACATTCGTGTATCAATGGGTCGAATTGGACGATATATAATATAAATTCGACGGTATATTACATAAATATAGAATATTTATTATATCAGGTATTATATCAGAAGATTATAATAATAAGACAAAAATATTAGACGCAGTGTAGTTTTTTAATGGCTGCATGTTTTGCGCCGATTTATATGCAATATTTTTATATTTAAACTTATATCTAAATGTTTTTTATTGAGGCTTTTCTTATATACTTCCTGTTTGCTTTTATTTCTAACGTATTGCCTTACAATATTAACCAACTGATACACGAATATAAACAAGAGTAAATCACGTAAAAACAATAAAGCTGTTAATAATATTTCTGAAACCCAACAGATGGCGTTGTGAAATCATTAATTGTAATCAGTTTCCTCCATGCCACTGTATCATGAACATCTTCCATGTTTTGTTATTAAATATATTATGTTAAAGGCGTTTATAATGGCTTAAACCCCGTCGTATTTAACACTGAATCTTTTACATAAGACTCATCTTCCAATTATTGACTTAATAATTTGCCTGCCTTTCGGAATCCAAAATTTCTCTCGTACTTGTGATAGTGTGTTTGAAATACCAGAGTGTACTGTCTTTCACTATCAGTTCTGTAAATTCAGTTTTTGATGGAAATAGTATAGGGTATTTTTCATAATAGTTCAAATTGGGGTGTCTTCCACCGACAAGTAGAATTCCTTTAGTAGAAATGAACGGATTTAAGTTTCTGAAATTTTATCAAATCGGTAAATTCTGTCCTTCCTTTAAATAATCTATATCCTTTCAGAAGTTCTTTGCTTGTACGTGTCTCAACCATAATGTTTTTAGCTTCTTCTAATTCTTCTGCGGTTAAAACATTTTTGATTCTATCTTCTTTCTTTAGTCTCAAATTTGTTACAAATCTTCAAATCCAGGCTGTTATTCGGAAAACCTTCTTAATAGAACTAAATTTATGGATATCGAAAATTGAATAGTGAGCATTATTTTCACTTGCATAATTTCAGTGTTAAATACGACGATCTCGGGGTTTAAATCATTACAAACACCTTTAACATAATATATTTAATAACAAAACATGGAAGATGTTCATGATACAGTGGCATGGAGGAAACTGATTACAATTAATGATTTCACAACGCCATCTGTTGGGTTTCAGAAATTATTATTAGTATTAACATTGAGAAATATTATTAACAAAAGCTGTATAGTTATCACCTGATAATTAAGATTTTAAATAGACTCTTATAATGCGTCTAATAATTTGGGACTGTATATTTTGTTATTTAGCAGATTTTATTATGTAAGAAGTACTAGGAACACGAAACAACACTTGCAACACGAACGAACAAACAACACGAACAAACTTGAGAATATGCTAAAAAAAACATTTAAAAAATAGCTTTCAATCTTACTTACTCTAAATGAGTAGCCGCTGCCGATTTTCTTGGCGGTGTGTAGCGTTTACTATAAGGAGGGTGAAAAATGGGATCGTCTTCTTCGAAATTTTGGTGATCCGCTTTCAAGGAACCTAAAGTGTCCAGAATATTCGTCACCCACCTTTCATCTCTTGCACTTTGATCCGAATTCCTCTCCCCCAATGTTACTTTGATGCGACCATTCGGAAGAACTTCTCTAATTTCAACCAGATGCTTGTCTTCTAGGTCAACATCCTTATGAAGCATGGAACCTTTTCTATAGTAAAGAGCAGAAGGCACGGCTACTGGACTTAGTTGAGTGGACAAACACTCACTCAAAGAAAATATTTCATCGCCTTCATAGGAAGATGAGCTTAGGTGGTCACTTTCGTCCTGTTTTGGTTTTAGGTTTTCTTTATCATCCATTGGGAATTTCTCAGCAATATTCTCACTTAATTCTTCAGCCAAAACGGGTTGTGGCGTTGTTAAATGTTCTGACTCAACTGATTGAATCGTTTCATATGGGTTACTTGGTTGGTTGATTGTTCCATCTAGGCGATCGTCAGGAGTATTCGTTTTATCTGGACTAGGATGATAATTGTTCACTTCATTTTGATGATCATGATTAGTAGTTCCATTTGGGTTATCGTGAGTTCTGGATAATGTATCAATATCTGGACTATGATGATAATTGTTCACTTCATTTTGATGATCATGATTAGTAGTTCCAGTTGGGTTATCGTGAGTTCTGGATAATGTATCAATATCTGGACTATGATGATAATTGTTCACTTCATTTTGATGATCATGGTTAGTAGTTCCAGTTGAGTTATCGTGAGTTCTGGATAATGTATCAATATCTTTCATAAGTGGCTTTACTTGCTGCGTATCTAGTGATTCCTGCAAAAAATATCATCTTATTTTATATTCTAAAATAAAAAAGAAAGCAATCATAACAGTAAGGCTTAAGAATATTAATAAATAACTCAGTAATAGCACCGCAAAGTGACCATGGAAAGTAAAGCGTATAATAGTACATATTAGACGTGTGTTGACTGAAAATTTCTATTTTAAAATGTGCTATGAGAAGTATTTCACTGAACAAATAAAGAAACATTTGATAAGATTGGTACAATACAGTCCCTGGCCAAATTATTCGACGCACTATAAGATTCTATGTGACATCTTAACTATCAGGTTATACTATACAGCTTTATTGTTTTTACGAGATAGTTTGCACTTGTTTACGTGCGTGTATCAATGGGTTAAATTAGACGATATATATAAATTAGATGATTGGATAAATTAGTACTGTAGTGTTTTAATAATGACATGATTTGCACGAGTATATAGGCAATACTTTAATATTCAAGCATATATGTAATGGGTTTTTATTCAGGAGATTTTTTATATACTTCCTATTCGTATTTATTTTTAACGTATTGCATTACAATGTTAATCAATTGATGCACGAACATAAACAAGTGCAAACCGGTTTCAGTCACATAAAAAACAAAGCTGTATAGTATCACCTGATAATTAAGATTTTACATAGAATCTTATAGTGTGCCTAATAATAAGGACAGGGACTGTATTTCACTGAATAAATGAATAAATATTATTTGCTTAGATTGGTACAATATATTAGAAGGTTTCATGATTCCAGTGTCGATATGTTATACTTAAAGTTCGAAAGCCGTTAATATTTGAGTATCGTTTAAGTTCGAAAGTATGTTTCTCTCTTTCCATTAACCAATTCGTTGATTGTTTGATTGAATTTATTGACTTGATACTTTAGGTCAGCGGTTCTCACTTTTTTTGTTTGTACCAGAATTCTTTTGGTGGAAACCTGGCCTTAAAAATAAGTTTCATTAGAAATGGTGAACATTTCATATAAAGACATATTAGTAATTATTTTGAAAATATACGATGTAAGGAAGTATTGTCATCGTTTTATTAATGTTCATAAAATATCATTAATTGTTAATAATATTCATCCCGAATTAATTTATAAAGTCATGAAATGACGCTTTATCAGTTATATTAGATTCGCAAGTCAAGAGCAATTTCTAATCTAGTTTTAAATTTGTTTTTCTTCTTTTTTTTGCATGCAGTAACTGAAAAAAGATGCGGAAAGTTACGAATTTCATAAAAAGGAAAATATATAATTATTGACATTTCTGTATATTGTTAAAATTGAGTTATTTAATTTCGAATTAAAACGCTAGATAAGAAATACAAATGCAATTTTTGAATAATTTTCATTCCTCTATGTAATTTATACTAAATATGTATGACATTAGAAAATATCTGTATGTATTTTTTTTAAAATTTGTCTTTATTATTTTTGCTGGTATTTTACATAAAGCGCTTTATCTCCGAGACCATCCCAACCTTCTCATTCATTGTTTATGAGTTCTAGCCTGATGTATAAAACATACTTACAACAAATAAAACTATTATAACAAATGAAACTATTCTATGATATATTATTTCAGAATGTTTCTAGGAAACGTCCATCATTCAAAAAAATGTTGAGAACATCTAAATTTGACTGCTTTATAATCCCAATAATTTCTGTACTTCCTACTTAAAACTATTATAAAGAGGATGTCAGAATGAGATACCGATAATAAAATCTAATTCAATTTTACACAGGGTTTCTTAAAGGTAACTTCACGTAAACTTTATTGATGTCGAATACACATTCTGGTTTAAATTACTTTAAGGAGTTCTTAAGCATGCTTCATTTACATTATAGAAAACTAGTTGGCTCCGCCCCTTGCTCGCTGACGCTCGCCCTGCTTTGATGGCGGCCAAAACATAATTATATTTCAATAAAACATTGGCAAATTTCAACAAAACATCGGCCAAAACTTTATAAAATTGCAATGAACCAAATAGAAGCAAAATTAATAAACCCAATAAAATGCATTTTGAATCGAAACAAAAATTAATGGAGTGAACACAGAAAGAATAGAAAAAAAAAACAAGTCACTTCTTCATTAAGCTTGAATATCCTCAGAATAAGGTGCACAGAGTTCTCTAATAGCAGTTAGATACTGTCTATATTTATCATGAATAGAATGTGTGTACCTCCATCGCCACATAAATTCGGCGAAATACGAATCGAAAACGGCGTCTGTGGTACCGGACTGGCGGTGACATTTCTTTCTAAAGTCCCTTTTTATGACTGCCCACACACCTTCGATCTTATTGACCAGAAACAAAAGTAACCTTACCAGCCGGTATCCAACGTAGAACTAACGGACCTCTGAAGTTACATGTACAGATGAACATTTAAAAATAACGCTAAAATCTAAACCAATCAGAATCACGATTGGGTTTCAACATCGCCCATCTTGGCGATCAACCGCGATCACAACTTGGCGAGAATCAAGAGGCACCCTCAAATATAGGCAACCACTTTATCTTAAAATGTAACATAGAATTACATTATTCTAGTAATAATAATAACAATCCTCTTAAACTCTTAATTCAGAAAACAAACAAATTCCAAAACGTAATAATAATAGTACGGGTAAATACCTTTAAATTAGGGATACCAAAATATTTATAGGAAAACAATACCTTTATCACTTATATAAATTGTATGCTGATGACAACCAAACCAATATGAAAACTGATGCGGAAAAATCGATCCTACCATGTGATTTTTCGGTCCATAAAAATGCACCGTCAACAATGGATAACTGCCACCATCATTAGATTTTTATATACTAGTGGGCTGCGCCCCCTGCTCGCTAACGCTCGCCAACCCCCGAAAATTGCTATGTAATCTCATATGGCTTGCTTCGCAAACCAAACTCGCTTCGCTCGCAACTAATTTAGGGACATTGCAAATGCACAAAATTCTAAGAATTCAAAACAATCATTCAAATCCATATAATAACTTTTTTTAAAAAAAAAATTACATCTTTTTAGTAAATACTTAGTCATTAAAATAAATTTGAATTCAAATAAATGACATGTAATTCGTTAAACCTATTAGAAATGTGTTATAGTATAAAATCTTAAGATAAAATTTCTAAAACTGATATCTCTTTTTAAAAAGGTTAAAATTTTGGCTATAATTAAGTCTATTAAATATTGAAATAAGTAAATTGCAATGGAAAAATGTGCATAAACAAATAAATTCTAGTAAAACAAATAAATTCGTGATATAAATCAAAAATCGTCAAATAAATTCGTAATATATAAAATCGTGAAAAAAAGCGCTTTCGACAAAATACTAAAATAGAGATCTATCGACAAAGACTACTCACTTCTGCCTAGCTTATGCTCTCTCTGGTTATTTCAGTTTCCGTTTTTAAAAGCGCTACATGTTGAGCCATCTCAGCTAGATTTGGCATGTGACATTTTTAGCGGCAATCATGGGTCGATTTTCTAGCCTTGTCATTCGGGGAGTTGTAATGAGGCTTTTTTTTTGTCGCCGTGTAAGAGAAATATGTATATAGATAGTTTGTTATTTCATTGAAGTGGCATATTTAACAAAGCCTAGTATTGTAAAACTGACATTTATTAGGGTGAAGGTTTCTTAACATGAGAATATTAGGTACTTATTCGCTTCGCAAGGGCCTGAAAAGCTATTAATTTAGTACCTACATTAGTATATTAGGTGCAGAATCTATTACCTCAATACCAGGAATACGTATGTGAATACAAATAATTATGCTTCATTGGCATAAATCGTAACAATAGTTCTTACTTGTTTTAGCATTTTATTTTTTTATTTTATTTTATAACCATCGTCGAACAGCCAACCCGATTTTTGAGTTTACGACTGCCAATGTTCAACTCCGTAGCCTTGTAATTTTGAACTCATTCCTAAACACAACGGACATCCTGAATATAATATTGAGAGAAATTTGCCTTCGTGGAGAACTTTTTGATGGAATTAAAACGCGTTTCATGGAGAGGTAGACCACCAAAACCCTACCATGGTTAGCCTGACGGTCAGGGAACTCTAACCTATGATCCATTGAGAATATTTTACAGTAGCACTGCTGTGTGAGGAGGAGGCGGAATTCGTTTCGACCTACCAAAGCTGAGATTCCAACCCGGGTCATTTCATTTTAAAGCGAGTTCTATATACACTGAGTCATCACGGCTCTTGTTTTAACATTTTAATCTATTGTGAATTTTACGGCACCTTATAGGGCAAGACCAGGAAAATTTGTTACTGGCTAGTTTTAGCATACTTTTCCAAATATTGAACATTTTAAACAGTTAAAATCTATGTAAGATACTTCCTTAAAGTATTTCACGAAAAATGGGAGGTAAATGAGTCACAGTGTCCTCAGGGAACAGAGAATTTGCCTCACAATGAGATGACCGAGGTTCGAATCCCAGAGGTAGTTGATAGATACGAATTTTGATTCCGACTCGCACCGACCACAGTGCTAGAGTAAAATATCCTCAGAATATAGTGGATGATGCGTTAAAATGCCCTTGACGTCGGGATAAATGTTAGAGGTTTCCGTGGTTTTCCTTACCAAGTAGCTTTAATGAGAGTTAATTCTATCAAAAAGTTCTCTACGAAGGATAGTTTGTCCTAATGCTTTATCCAGGAGTTCTATTGTCTTCTGGGTTAGGTTCAAAATTACAAGACTACGGAATTGAACGTTGATAGTCGTAAATTCAACTGTTCAACGCCTGTTATAAAATTATAAGATATGGCAAATACTTAACAGTTTATTTCTGCAATGCAAATGAATAAAAAAAATAAAAATAAATGCATAAATATAATAAAAAAATAAGTAAAATATAAATAAAACATTTGATTAAGAAACAAACGTCAAGTAAAGTCATTATTTTAAAATATACATAATAATTCAATATTTATTAAAAGCAATAATACCAAAATGCACATAGAGTACATAAATGACAAAAAAGTGATGATTGGTAGACAATTTCTTAATCGCCATTTGTTATATTTAATCTCCTTGAGTGCTGGTAGCAACCATTACAGCCCGATATCCAAAACGGATAATTACCGAATATTTTATGTATCGCAGCAATAATGTACTACGATTTATCTTATATTTTAACTAGCTTTCATCTCTGAAAATGTGAAATCATGTCATGAAAATATCGGCCACTTTCTGCAACCTAGAGTACTTAGGTCAGAATAATTCGTTCACCAGGAGTTGGTACCTGGCTCCACCTTCTCGGACGCTGAGTTCACTTCAGAGTGGAGTAAGAGGAGAAACATCTCCGCGCTTGAAATTGAGACAACCCTTAATGCGTGCCAAACGCAAACAGTGAATTTATTATACCTATCGTTACTCAAGCTAATTAAACATATTTTTAATTTAAAAACTGCTGTTTTCTCTGCAAAACGTCTCAAAAAGGACAAACTATTCGCTCAAAAGAGAGAAATATGGTCAAATTTATGAAATATTTAGTGTTAAAATAATGCACATAAATATTGCGAAATAAATATTTTTGCAATAAGATCGCCAAATAGCAACCTTTTTCACATCCTTCTCCCGAAAATAGCGAAATAGTATCGTCCGATACCACGTGATGCAGGCGGAGCCAAGTGCCTATAACGAACTATACTTGGGGTTTTAGTTTGATGACGATGCAAGTTTTTCTACTTAACTTTTTTTCTTAACTTTAAGTTCAAAAAATATTTTACTCGATTACCCCTAATTTTTAAACAAATAACATACCCTTTCTTTTTCTCCTTTCTCTGTTGAGAACTTTTCATTGGCAGTCGCTCTGGCATCCCTTTTTCTATCGACGTTTTGCACCGCGATTCGAATACTTTCCTCTGCAAACTTCTTCAAAATTTCATTCAATTCTTTATGGCTGGAAGTGACGTGACTCAACATTTCACTGCGTGTATCTTTTTCTCGGTTATCGTGAAAATTATTTTTATCATCGATGAATTCTCTTGAAACTTCTACTTTCCCTTTCACTGATGAATCCTTGAAGCTCTGAATGACGATATTCAATATGGAAGAGGCCTCAAAAATCCGAGAATTATCTGAAAAGCAAATTAGCTTTCTCTTTGAGAATAGAATAAGAGTTTTAAAGACCTGTTTATACTATTCAAGTTCTTGGACGAAGATTGATAAAAACTTATTTTGCTTGGATCGTCTAAATGATCATCCAAGTTCTTGGATAATAGTGGAGCATGTTCTACTTTACATCCAAGTTTTTTCTCCCTTAACCAATCAGCTTAACTTTCATGACGTCAACAAGCAGGCATCAGATTATGTCATTTTGTTGTCTGTTTTCACATATTTTAGTAGAAATAGATTAATCTGTTATGGTATATTTGTGCTATTATGATTTTATTCGAATTTATTTAGTAATTTTGAATTCTTGTAAATATGATTTTGTAATGTTGAATATGAACCATGCGCATGCGCTGGTTTTTCATCCGACCCATCGGTGACCTTCAAGAACTTGTCGACGAATCATCCAATTTCTTGGAGAGAGAAATAATTCCTTCAATTTCTCGGATTCAAGAACTTAGACCGTGTAAACAGGCCTTAAGGCTTTCGTCTCTCTCCACACTTTTACCCTCCCCATTGCCATAGGAACGGGAAATCTTGGTTTTTCCCCATGCAAAATCAGTTCGAAAGCGGGGGCTCAGGAGATTGAACTTTCACCTTGTAACGAGATGAAAATGTTCGAATATAGTTCGTTCACCAGGCATTGGCACTTGGCTCCGCCTTCATCACGTGATATTCGATTATACTATTTCGCTTTTTTGGATAGAAGGATGATTATAGAAGGATGTGAACGATCCAGAACAAGGTTGCTATTTGGTGATCGCATGACAAAAATCTTATTTTATAAATTTGACCATATTTCTCTCTTTTGAATGAATACTTTGTCCTTTTTGAGACATTTTGAAGGGAAAACAGCAGTTTTAAATTTAAAATATATTTAAACAGCTTGAGTAACGAAAGGTATAATAAAATTCATTGTTTGCGTTTCGCGCGCATTAAGGGTTGTCTCAATTTCAAGCGTGTAGATGTTTCTCCTCTTACTCCTGCCCTGAAATGAACTCTGAGGTCAAAGGAGGTGGAGCCAAGTGCCAAATTCTTGTGAGCGAACTATATGAACAGTTCCACGAATGAACAGTTCCATAAAGAAGGCGAATGTTTCGGTGTTACGAATATTTCTCAAAAGCTGGAAACAACAGATAATTTTAAGAGGGGAGAGTGTGGTAAAAGCATAGAGAACAAATACAGGGTGCCCCGAAACGACCGCATAAACTCTGCACAGTTAGATTCCTCGTTGGGAGTACATAAAAACTGCCCAAAGAAGCGTTCCTGTACGATCCATAGCTTACGAGAAAAATACAAAAAACAAAGTAGGACGTCACTGCCGGTGCAAGAAAAAACACTTTATTGGACATATCTACGGTGTACTCAAGCCTACCTCGATATGCGCGGCAGACACTTTAAACGTCTGCTTTAAATTGTGCACAGTATACTGCTGTTGATATGTTCAATAAAGTGTTTTTTCTTGCACCGGCAGTGACGTCCTACTTTGTTTTTCGTATTTTTCTCGTAAACTATGGATCGTACAGGAACGCTTCTTTGAGCAGTTTTTATGTACTCCCAACGAGGAATCTAACTGTGCAGAGTTTATGCGGTCGTTTCAGGACACCCTGTATAATAAAGCGCCATAATTTACCTATTACCATTATCCCTTTCCCTTTGTTATTTCAAAGAAAGGAAATCGACGCAGGAATTTCAAAACTAAAAATCTTGAAATATGGTATTTTACTGTTTTATTTTGGCAGACAGATTTGTTAAATGAGGTCCTTAAATATTTCATGAGTAAGTTCATTTATCCCTTTTAGGAATTACATATTATTTATTGCCCATTGACAAAATGGGTCTTGTTTTGAGTTTGATGGCGTCATCACACTTTTCAATTGTGTTTAAGAGTAATACTAAACAGTGTGCATGCGTTGCTATGACGATCGCTGCTGTGTGATGATTTTTTTAGAATTCTTTTTTTTTCACTTTTAGTTTGTTATGCATTAAGATGGTGAGTTTATTTTTGAGATATGGGACCAGAGAGATCCCATAAATACTTCTTGAGTTGCGAATAAAAAAGAACTTCATCATTTGAACGATATTTTTGTTTTTACTGTTTTAATTAAGAATCAGAAATTCCAACCTACAGTTCAAATTGGATCGTTTTCAATACTAATTCAGGTGAATATCACACATAAAGAGGGTCCCAAACTGATTGACACTTTCCCAAAGGAAAAAAGTAAGAAAAAAATAGATGCCAAGGCCTAAACTTACCGAGGCTGAAAGAGCTAAAGTCAAGGAACGTAGACGGGAAAAAATTAGACAACAGCCATTTTGCCAATAGGTAAAGTGTGATCACATTTCGACGATCACATTAATTTTTTTTTATTATTGAAATTAACTCTTAGCAATTGTAGATTTTACTTAAAATAGAATTTCCTTATATTTCTTTCATAACAAAGTCCGAACCAAGATTTTTAAAAATTTCTTCAAGTGCCTACTAAGTGTCTCCACTTCTCTGGTACGTTGAGCGTGGTAGAAAGAAGACAATAATATATTTCTGCACATGATGCAATACGTTGAAATTATGTCATTTTGAAAGGAGCAGACAAAAGCATGTATGTATATAAAAACCTATACGCTCTTTACGAACTTGTACATTAGAGCCGCTGGGTCAGGGGATAGAGCGTTCGCTTTCCAATGAGGTGAACCGGGTTCGAATCCCAATCGATACGAATTCCGCATCCGGCTTGCATCGACCACAGTGCTGACGTGAAACATCCTCACTGGTAGACAGATCATAGGTTAAAGTCCCCTTGCCATCAGGCTAACCGTGGGAGGTTCAAGCGTTCTTCTCCATGTGACGCAAATGCAGGTTAGTTCCATCAAAAAGTCCTCCACGAAGGCAAATTTCTCCTAATACTTGATCCAGGAATTTCCTCGTCTTCTGGATTGGCTGCGTAGTTTAAAATATTAGCAGTCGTGAACCCAAAAATTGGGTCGGCTGTTTAACGACGGTTATGAAAAAATTAAAAAAAAATACAAATAAAATAAAAACTTGAACATTAAGTCTAAAAAAATACCTATAAAAAATACCTATAAAAAAATACAAATAAAATAAAAACTTGAACATTAAGTCTAAAAAAAATACCTATAAATACTATTTTTTAAAAACATTCTCTACCTTGTGTAACAAACCTAATTCCAGATTTGAAATCCTGACGCCCGAATAAGAAAAGAAAAAATACTTGCATTGTATATTTTCCACTAAAAATTTTATATTTATCAAAATTGGGAGATTCTATATAGATTTCTTTCCTATACAATACACTTCATTTATCACACGGTATGTTACATTTATTTCCTCCAGTTTTTGGAGAAGAAAAAAAAGGGGGTAAAAGAAACATATAAACTACCTGGAATTTGCCATGGTTTCCGTGATATATACTTAGTGACATCTTCTTTCAGGCGTGAAGCGAAGGTTTCAACATTAAATACTCCGCTAATGCGTATCTTCTGTATTTTAGTTGGACTTTCTGTTTCTTTAACGCTCTGCAATGGATTAGAATCCGGAGTCGGGAAAAATTTCAGGAACTCTGTTTCCGGACACACACAAGCATTTGCAGGAGATGCTTGAGAGCACTAAAAACATTATAAAAACTATACTATACAGCTTTATTGTTCTTACACGACTGAAACCGGTTTGCACTTGTTTATGTTCGTGTATCAATTGGTTGAATTAGACGATATGTAATATAAATTCGACAATTGGATAAATTAGACGATGTATTATATAAACATAGAATATTTATTATATCAAGCATTATATTCAATAAGACCAAATTATTAGACGCGCTGTAGAGCTTTAATAATGACATGATTTGCATGAATTTGTATGCAATACTTTTATATTTAAACATACATGTAATGGGTTTTTATTCAGGAGATTTCTTACATACTTCCTATTTGTATTCATTTTTAAAGTATTGCATTACAATGTTAGTCAATTGATACACAAACGTAAACAAATGCAAACCGGTTTCGGTCACATGAAAACAATGCAGTTGTATAGTATCATCTGATAATTAAGATTTTTCATAGAATTTTATAGTGCGTACGTAGACAGTACGTAGTAAATAAAAATCATTCATTTAGATATCTCTAAACCCGGATAAAAATTGCGTTTTATAAACGTGCAAAATTAATTCTTAATAAAGGGTTTTTAATTTTAATTCTCATTTCGAGAACAACAGTAGTTTGCATATAATTAAGTACCGATATAATGCCGTGTAAGTTTAAATTCAGATACTGCAGTTTATAAAAATAAAGCAGAATGTTTATATGCTTGTGCAGTGCGCCAAAAAAAGGACTACCCTGAATAACTTTCGATCTATTGATCGGATCTTCACGTTCTAGAGCTTAACCTTAATGGCTCGAGGGTATGACTTCAATTGTGCTAATTAATAAGCGCAGACGCTATTTTAAATTACGAAATCAAACACAAAAACGTACTTTCTCTGAATTAACATACCTTTTTTCCCACCGGATTCGGTCTTTTTTTTATTTTACTGGTAATTATGACACATAACTCCCCATCTAGAATTTTATTTGTGATAGAATTCGATGAACGAACACCACTAGTTGACTAATTCTGTTTATTTAATTTTTCTTACTTATTTCGCTTGTTATTTTTTTTTCAATTATTAGCCGGGAGAAATGTATTTACTTCACCGGAGTTTTGAGAGCTATTTTGTGAACAAATCAACTGTTCATTGTGGAGCACCCATCGATGTTCGCGAGTTTATATCACTTCCGGGTCACCATTTAAAGGGAGAGTTTTTCAACCATGTCAGTTTTCATCTATCTCAAAACTCCTCCAGGTCGAATCAAGGTAGCCCGTTTTATATACTAGTGAATAGGTATTTAATATTTATAGTGTTAGTAACGCGCCACAGACAGTTTTAATTTCGACTTACTTCTAATACAGGTTCATCGCTATGTTGCGAATGGCTTGGAAATGAACTAAGGCTATCCTGAAGTCTAGTGAGTTTTTCAACGCAGTCACGGCAAGGGATTGCATTACCTACAGGCGTGCCATGACTCAATCCTTGAACAGCTTGTTTCTGAGATACATTTGAGTCTTGAATCCAATAAAGCATTTTTTCCGACAGAAAAATAAGGAGTTGTAAAGCATCGCTGATACGGTGGCGAAGACGACCATCTGTCACATCTGGATTCGCCAACGCATGAAGTACTTCTCTTTCATTTTCAAAAGAAACTTGGGGTTTCCTGCTGGTGGATTCCGCCATGGGTGCGGCGAATACCCTAACCATAGCAGGTTCTTCTCGTTGGACACTCTGGTACTCATTTTCATGATCTGGGCTGCTTCTTTTAGTGTCCTTTTTTCGAATGAACGAGTACGACGGAAAAGAGTCTATACCCGTTTCTCCTTTTACGGGTGCTGCCGGTGAATCTTTGCTGGTCTCCTGGAGAAGCGTCTCCGAGAGTTTAGTAAACTGCACAGTTAAAATCTGTAGCAAAAAGTAAATAAGTTGAAAAACGTAATGAGCGTAGTAAACATTGAAAGGAGCGGAATCGGGATCGATGTTCAAGTTGTCTTCCGCGTAAGCACGCAGCGTCAAGTCGGAAATGATTTCCATGATTCTCCACAGCAGTTTCTTCATCGTGAAGAATGCGTCTCTCAAGGCTGCGTTTTTGGATATCAAATTACTCTGAGGCGATCTTATGAGCGACGGATCAGATTTTTTGCGGGGAGAGGGGAGCGGGGATACCGTCACCATTTCCCATTCCGTTGGAGCTTGTTGCTGGACTTCTTCGACGAAAGCGACAAATCCATTAAACTCTTCCCGGATCTCTGAAATGGCATTGTCTAAATGTTCTTGAACGAAGGTTTTCATACCAGGAGTTAACGTTGAATAGGATGGTTCTTTGTGAAGTTTGGAAGAATGTTGATCTTCTAACAAATCTTCAGATGATTCGTTTTTCATCTCCTCCATTGGTTTTAGTTGAAAACAAATGCACTTAGCTGTCAAAATACACAGTTAAATAGTAGAAAACAAACCCACTACTTCTAAAGTAGATATTTTTTATCGTATATAAATGTATCTTGTTTAAATGTTATAAACAGAAAATAGTTTCAAGTCTGCTTACAGTAAATTATGTTTAAATTAGCCTAATTTAAAATGGCTCAGTTAATAATGCTTAGGTGTACCAGAAAAGAATAATGCTTATTTGTACCAGAAAGAATAATGCTTGCCAGTGAATTTGAATTTTAATGTTGTCATAGTGGAAATATTTTGATTCCTATCAGGCTTGAAATGTTTTGAATAAGAAAATCGAAACCTTTTGGGTGGATCCAATCAGAGCAAACGTTTAAGCGAACAGAATAAGATAACTTTCAATAATATTTATTATTTTTCGTTATTTCACTTAATAATAGTCAAAAAAGTCGGCATAGACAAATTATTGCATCGTTTTAAGGAATGTAATTTTAGATTCGCGATCGAAACGAACTATAGGAGGCGTTGTGTGAGACGAATTCCTGATATTTACATAAGAACAGTCATTCAGTTGCTCTTGAAATGTCTTCAGTGTAGCATTGTAACGTTCTTCCCTTATTGTGGCTTATTAAATTAAAAAAAAAAATTTGATATTCTTTCTTATGCAAGCGAAAACTAAATGGTATCTCTTTAATTTTTTGAGAAGGAACATCCAAAACTCATCGGAAAAATATTTGTAAATAAACAGGACAAAAAATATGCATCTTCTTATTAGTGTTAAAATTTAATGCCTGAGAAATAGTTTTACTAAATTTAATGATATAACATGAAAGGCCTATTTAAACTTTACATTCCATACTTTTAAGAATCATATTGCTCAAACATTAAAATATGCAAAAAGTATGCATAGGTTCACAATTTTATCAATTTAATTTCGCAAAAAAAGTTTTTTTAGAACTAAGAAACTTAAAATAAAGAATGCTTACGAAACGATTCTAAAAATTCCTCACATTAAAATAAAAAAAACTTTTATGCTTCTTTTTTGCTTTTTGTATTCATAATCGGACGTAGAAAACAATTCTTTAGAAAATTATCATCAAATAAGCAAAAAAACTATTTACAAGTAAAAAATTTTATTATAAAATTCTAACACTTAAATGCTTTATAAATCCAGAGAATTCCAAAATGATATGTTCATTTGAAAACTTAATTTACTTTAAGATGACATACCACACAATAAAATTTTATAATTACAAGATCTCGATATGAATTTCAATAAGTAACCTCAAAACAGAATAGCTGAATTCTAGTTGAAATTTCTCATTTAAAATTATAAGAAACTTACGAAGAAAACGATCAAAATTTATTAATAAACATAAATGATATTATTTCAAGTAACTCGGATGACTCTTTATTGTTGTTTTCTGAATTATATAGATTAAGAAATATATACTATTCTATAACAATTAAAGTTCTGCATGTTCTGAAATTACATTTGTTCATTGGAATGAAGTAAGCAATGTTGACTTCACCTTAATTTGTAATGAATTGAAGACAAAAAAAATGGATTTTACCATAATACACACATTTGTAACAGTATGGAAGTTATCGACTACAAGTTTGTTGATAATAGAAAGATAAAAATTATTGAGAAATTTCTTCAAATGTTGGGCACGTTCTGTTTCTGAATGATTTGCCAATGTTCTGGGTCATTTTTTTTTTCAAGTTCATCTGCCTCTTCCTTTAAAGTTTGGTTCTTATTTGCTACTAAGAAAATGGCGTTCGACTTTGTCAATGATTATAATCGAACTAAATGTCTGATATTTTTACGTTCCCGCTAGAGGGCGTACTCAAGCGTTGCGATCGCGAATTGCAAAATATTAAAAAACTAGAAAGAAATAGAACGATTTGCTCAAATTTTGAATGTCATATTTTAAATTTCGATTTCTCAAAAAAATATTCGAGTGATTTTACTAAAAAAAATTTTTTAAATTTAAAAATAAAAGGTGTGTTTATTCATAGAGAAAATGTTTTTTTGTTGTTGCTGGATTTCATAACTTAAAATATTGTCCAGTGATCTCACTAAGCGTTTTTAGAATGGCGGTCCGCCTTTCTAGCCCTTGAAATTCGTTTTCTCTCGGAATAATATTTCATAAGCATAAACCTTTCTTTCCTCTTGATCTTCATGTACGTCCTATATCCTTCGTCCTCTATGTATCGTCCTATATCCTTTTCCTTTAATTGTTTATTAATTAAAATAAATGGATATAGGACGATACATAAAAGATAATCTGCAGTAATTAATATATTATTCAATATTATAACTACAAATGTGTGTTTAAGAATTTTGGTTTTATCTTCTGTTGACATTTAGTTGTACAATTGTCATTAAGGTTGACAATGCAGGGATGGACTATTCAGTCCTTTAGGGATTAGGCTTCATAACGGGGGAGAGACAATTAAATATTCAACGAACCGAGCGTTGTTCATAAAATGGATTTAGCCTCTCCTAGTTTTTAGAAATTCATTAAGTGCTCTCTGTATTGATTTTAATCTCTGGAATAATGAAGGGATGCTTTAAAGTTTAATGTTTATGACGTCATGTTAGCTTATATTATTAAA